AAATTTATTGTATGATTTATTAAAAAAAAGTAAGAAAAGAAAAAAACCTGCAGTCTTCTCAGTGCCATTCTACAGTGGAAGAAATGGGGGTTCCTTCGGAAAATGACTGATTCTAGATCTGGGGCAGGAGAAACGCAAGATGAGTTTGGATCATCATACAGTGCCAGAAAGAAAGTGAAGAGAAAGAAGAGAAAGTGAGGGGGGAGATGGAGAGAGAGGGAAGGGAGGGAGACGGTGGCACCACATGCCAAAGAGACACAGGCGCCAACGTGAAGGAGCTCCCAATGACCAAAGCGAGAACCATTTGAATAATGATAGTATTGAATTAAACTCAAAGAATAAATAAGCATACACAATACCATAATGATATAAATAAACGACTGAGTGAATAAACAAACAGAAGAAATCTTCCTTACAGAAGAATTCTAACTGATATATGTTGATACCCCCTCCAGGAGGTGGGGCTTAATTTCCCTCAAGTACAGCCTGGGCTTGATCCCTCACTTCCGCAGAACAGAGTACAGAAAGGGAGAGATAGTAACCTGACAGTGAAGAAGCTCGGCAGACATCACTTTAGCCAAAACCGCTAGTGGAAAGTCATGCTGAAGTTGTGCCTCCCAACAGGAAGTGATGAGGACACCCCAACCCTGTAGTATCTCCCCAGACAGCACCAGTCTAGTCCTAAGAAAACCTCAGACCAACCCAGGCTGGGAGGATTCCACAAAATACTTGTCTGGTCCCCTTCTAAAGGATCCAAGTTGTGAGAAACAAAAAAAAAAGACAGAGAAAACATCCCAGATTGGAGGAGCTGGAGGAGACAGGAAAACATGATGACTAAATGCAGTGTGAGATTCTAGAATGCATCCTGGAATAGGAAAAACAAACAGACAAAAACATTTGTAGAAACTGCTGAAATCCAAATATAGTCTGTATCTGAGTGACTAGTGTTATGACTACATTATGTCTTAGATTTGACAGAGGTACCCAGTTATGTGAAATGTTAGCTTAGAGGACGCTGGGTGAAGGGGATGTAGGAACTCGGGTCTATCTTCGCAACCTTCTCTAAATCAAAGATTATTCCAAAATTAAGAAGTTTATTGAAAAGAAATCCACAAGAACAAATTCTTATTGGATATCCAAACAGTGGTATATTTTTAGCTAATTAAAATCCTGTTTTGGAAAAAAGAAAAAAAAGAGCATGAGATGTAAAAAACTCCCACAGTGTTTAGTAACAAAACTATTTGGAGTCTGATCCTTAAGTATATCTATGTACGTACATATATATTACATTTACACAAATTTAAATGATCAGAAATGTAAGTTATCAGTGGTTATTTCATGAAAATAGAATTATGTCCATTTAGTTTTCTTTTCTAACCCTTCCTATTATTCTCAGATCTTCTGTAAGAAAATGAAACATGAGAAAACAGGAAATCAAAATTCCTAAGCACTGATTTGGTTTTTTTGTGTGTGATACTATGCTCAAATGTATTTAAATTTTTTTTCAAATAAATAGGATAAATTACATTTCAAGTTTTAGACATTCTTACTTTTATAGACATTCTTACTTTATATAAGTGCCTTTGTGCATGAAGGTCAATAAAACATTAATTTGCTAAACCTCCAATTTCCCTACATTATAAATGTTGTAGTTGCCTAAAACTCAGGCTGTTATTGTACAGTTTGAGCCATACCTAAATGAAATAACATTCTCCTCTCTCTTTCCCTCCTGCTTTCTTTCTAAATACACACTCACACACGTATACAGTAATGTGTAGATTATTCCATACTCCATAGAGGGATAGATGCATAAAATCTAGAAAGCTACGCACCAAACTATTACCCATTGACACTGGTGATTTCTAGTGTTTGGGATTCACTTTGTATGTTCTATATTTCCATATTGTTTAATTTCTTTTTAACAATAAACATGTATTACATTTGTAGTAAAAAATCTTTAACAAAGTTGCTTTTTAAAATAATAAAATCTTCAGATGATACACACTTTTCCAAAATATCTCATCTGAGTATCTCCAAATTCAGAATGTAAAGACTCAGTAACAATGAAATTTAAAAAAAACAACAACAAAAAACCTTCTCTACCAGGAGGATTTGATGAATTGGGCACATTACCAGCTCTCTGAGTTATTATTAGAAACAAAATTATGGAAGCACTATGATTTTGCCTTCACTTTTTGACTAGCCATATTGTTGTTCAGATTGCTTAAACAGTTCAACCACACATATTTAATCACTGCACAGAAAACTGTTTTCTAGGGAGTGAAAAGCAATCAGGGTAATAGGGGGAAAAAAAAGGTGGCTTGTCCCAAAATAAGCACAACATATTATTAGATGTCAAATGAAATTGTAATGTATTTTGCAGGAAATAGAACTAAACTCTGATGGATTTTATAATATCCCCAACTCTCTTAAAAGTGTGTGGTGTGTGTTTATGTATAAATTATACATCATAGATTATTTCTAGGAATTGTGTAATTTCAAAGCCAGCTCTACCCACACGCTGATATTGTGCAAGCATTTAACCCATTCCTAGAAAAATAGGTTGGATTTTGAGCTATAAGAGATGTGGTCTGCAGAGCATTTTTATCAGTTTCTTGACTAACCACTGACCACTTGTAAGATGAGGCTTGGTCCTCAAGAATAACATTCCGTTATGTTTTTGTCAATATCCTAGCGCTGTCTGAAGAAATAAACCATGCACATCCTTCTTGGCCCTTTTTCCATTGCCCTCAGAGTACAGACGAAAGGCATCAACATTCGCATAAGTCACTCTTCTGTACCTGGAACTGAATGTAGATTTTGATTTAGGAGAAAATATAGGAGAGGTGATTTTTTCTCCTTTGTTTAACCTCCAGGAACATTTACTTCCTGAGAGATGAATGGGGAATATTTTTTTGTCAATTAATATATATTGAAGGTGTATGAAACAATGATGCGTCTGTTTCTCAACTGTCATTGATGTGAAATTGACTACAAAATTAATTTCTAGAATTCAGAATTTACTCCCTCCTCCTGACTTTTTGTTTATGTAGTTTTCAAGACAAAAAGTAATTTCTGCCAACTGCTGGATTATAAATTCAACCTGGGATCTGATAATCACATTCCACTTTTTCTCTGTTTTATCTCTCATCACAGATGATAAAGATATTGCAATTGGAATTCAGCTGTGACAGTATAGATGATTAAGCTAAAAATCTAATTGGCTTTGCAGTGTTGGCAGAAGCCAAAATTTAATGGCTGATATTTTCCCTCCCCCCATAGTGAAATAAACCTCTGTGATTCACAATCTGAGAACAGAAGTCTTTTTATGACTCTATAAAGTCTTATAGTAAAGAATTGACTATAAGAATTAAAACAAAGTTTGAAGTTATATTTTTCTTTGTGAACTTTTTAGAATGCAACAATTCTCTAAATCTAAAGCATAAATGTTTGGGATTGTAGGGTAAATCTTTTTTAAAGCATTCAAAATCCATTGATGAGTTGAAAGGAAAACTTAGATTTGCTTTTAAGCAATGTTTGAAATAACTGTCTTCATAGCAATTCACTGTATAGAATTAGTTAAGAGCAAGACTTAGACGGGGAAGTACTGCACAGAAAGGGTGAACGTAGCTCTCGTGGCGCTGTACCTTCACCTAGGCTGATATGAGGTAGGGTGGCCTTGTGACAGGGAATCCAAAGTATTCCGTGTGCTGATTGAAGTTAACAAGTACCAGAGGCCCAGGACATGTGGTGAGACGATATTTCTCTGACAGCCTTTCAACTTGCCGTTCTTTTTCTCCAGTGTCTCCCCGTGGGTTCTTTGGCAAGACCTTGCCCCAAACTGAGAGGCTGGCTTCATCCAGGTTTATAATTCTAGGCTAGTTAGAGCTATCCAATTTAACTGGATTTTCTATAGTTTAATATTAAAAGCTAAAATAAATGACTTTTTAAGGTATTTTTAATAATAAAGATCTAATTGTGGTAACTAAGCTTCTCTCCGTACTTAAAATTTGATCCAAATGATTATAGTTCATCTTTGACCCATTTCATGGGTTGGCAATCCCCACTGGCCAACAGTGAATAATAAATATAACCATCTCCTTTTCTATTTCTGGTGTGAATAAGTAGCAGTTATGAAACTCTTGCCCACTGTCCCCTGTTTCTGAGGTGGGCGACAGAATTGTTCATACTTCTTAAAAGTTTACATAATTTCGTGTTTTCAGTGAAGTGTTCCCTAAAATCGAGTTAGAACTACTCCGGTATAGTATCAGCTCGGTCTTTGTCCTTCTCATCGTACATGTGTAAGGATGTCTTTGTTTAATGTAGTCAAAAACATCGGCACCCCCGCTCTCCATTCCAAAGGCAAGGGGCCAACAAGAAATTTGAGACAGAAATGGGGCCTGGGAGCAAATGGTGAGAGGCTACTTAAAGTTCATTTAATTGCAGACTGTGGGTACAACCATAAAGTTTACTGAAAATGTAGTAGAATATAAAAACCACTAGAAAAATGAGTATACCACAAGCGTTGCATTCCAAGATCCTCCACTGTGTGATGTCAAAGAAAAGAAAATCGGTGAGCAAAGTGTATATTGAAAATCATGAAAACTCAGCCTCATTTAAGAAGGAAAATATTAAAATCTTGTAGTATCTCAGGGATTAAATATTTTACTCTTTTCAAGTAAACTCCAAACTCCCCCAGTTAAACATTTGAAGCATAGAAATCATTGATGGAATTTATAAGTATTACAAGTGAAGTAAGATTTTATATTGAAAAAGGTTTCTATGATCACTCTTTATGAAGACATCCCATGAAGTCCACTTCAGGACATACAACAGACCGGAGAAAGAACCAGAACCAGAACCCAGGACTGCAGAGTTTTCAGGAAGAAATACTTCTTCCTCACTTGTTCTGTGCAAATGCCCATTGGAAGAGGGTATACTTCACACTGGCTGGCAACACGCAATAACTAAACTGAACTGCTGTTTATTTCTTCTTTTAGGGGCTGATGTTATCAACTTTGACGGCCATGTTGTGTTACCGTATAGATTCAGAAACAAGAAGATGAAAACTCTGAAAGACGTCATTGCCTTGAAATTTAAAACCTCTGAGAGTGAAGGGGTGATCTTGCACGGGGAAGGCCAGCAAGGGGATTATATCACTTTGGAACTGAAAAAAGCCAAGCTGGTCTTCAGTTTAAACCTAGGTACGTTCCGACTTTTGGCCCCATTCTTTCCCTGTGTGAATATTCCCATTAGCTAAGTGCTCATGGTCTTTAGTCCTTAAAAATGCAAACTATAAAAATAGTTCACAATCTGTTTTTAATTCATCGTGGTGGGTATATATTGAAATACTTATCCATTCACAACTATGCATTACACACGTGTACTAGGCAGGCAGTGTACTAGCACCCGGGATACAGGGTGAAAAATGCAGAAGGTCTTTGAGTTCATGATGCAGTGGAAGAGTCGGGCACTGTGTTATCTATTACTATTATTACTGTTATTTTAACATAGCTAAATCGAAGGAAATGACTTCCAATAATGATGAATAGTAGGAAATCAAATGAATAGAATAATATGATAGAGGATACAGCATAGGCAAGAAGGGTGGACACTTAGAATATATAGTGAGGAAAGTCCTCTCTGAGGAGAAACTCTTCTCACTGAGATTTCAATCATGACAGAAACGACCCCTGAAAACATCTGGGAGAAGGGCAATTGGGAGGAAGGAACCACTGAGACAAATGGCATGCCCAGGGAGCAGGAAGTCCGGTGTTGATAGACATAGAGAGCAAGTAGGATAGAAGATGAAATTCCAAGTTGGAGATTGTTCCAAATGCTGTAGTATCTTACTGGGTGTGGCAAAAGGCTTAGACATTATTTTAAGAATGGGAAGTCATTGGTAAGCTTTAAACTATATGGCACTTTGATCTTTTTTTTTTTTAATGTACTGAGACTTCTGTAAGCAAAAATGCTTGCATCAACATAAGAGTCAAAGCCAGATGTCTGCTTAGTACAAGTGAGAGGTGGCACTGGCTTGTAGAAGGTACGTGTCAGTGGAGATGTAGAGAAATAGGTACACATGGGAGATGATTTTGGTGCTAAATTCAGTGTGATTTGTAATAAATTGGATATGATGTAAGAAAGAGATTATATAAAGGATAATTTCTGGGGAATGGCTTGAGCTCCAAATGGACATTAGTGTCATTTTCAGAAATACGGAAGGCTTTATTTTCTCTACAGAGTTTCCTCCATCTAGAAGATTATTACTTCCTTCTAATAGAGGAACTGTAGAGATCTGCTTGTATAGGTGCATTTCAGTTGCCTATCAGGCATCAAAGTTGAGATTTCTATTAGGGAGCTGCATGCATGAGGCTGACAGGAGACATGCTACATGGAGACTGAGGAGAAGTTGACAGGGAATAGGAGGAAATACGAACATATGGCATCAAAGAGACTGGGGAAGGAAAGAGGCAGTCTGCTATGGGCTGCTGTGTTGAATTCACCTCAGATGTCACCTAAGCAGAAGACAGACAAATGAGGTCACGATTTGGCAACACAGAGATTACTGTTGATATACTGTCAATGGAATAGAAATGACAGTAGCTTTACTGTCTTAGGTTAAGAAAAGATTAAAGGTGTGGAAATGAATATTTTAAATACAGTCAATGAGGAATGAAATGTTGGCTGGAGAATGAGATGAACTCAACAAAGGAATTACTGCTGTGTTTTGGGTTTCTGTAATTTTGAAGTGGACAGTACTACACATGTTTGTATGTTGAATGTTGCTAAGATTTACTCAAAGCTCAAGGGAAGATCCACAGCACAGAAACTGACGTTCAGAATTATAATTCATGTACATTAACACTACATCAGTTCTCTTGCTTACCTAAAAATTTCAGGATTTATGCAAGAGTTGTTTGAAGGGCATCATATAGTCCATATTTTTCCTACTGTAGTGAGTTTAGAATTTGATAAAGATTTTATAATCTAAAATATATGAATAAGTAAAGTTCACATGGTAAATGCACCCCAATGGAAAGCTACAAAAGCAAAGATTAAAACACGAAAACAGATCTTGCTTATATGCCTTCCTTATCAATATGGTGGTTCTAGCATTCTTGCATATGGCTTGTGTCTCACATATAAACTTTTATTACTTTGAAAATCAGTATTATACTAAAATACAACTTAAATTAGTGTTTTGGTTCATAACTTGATAAAGTGTCTACAAAGTTTTATCCTTTATTATAAAACTTTTCACGTTCAAAATCTTATCTGATAGAAGTAATAGTTTCTATAACCAAAAATTATCCCAAAAGGCCAATTACTTAATTACACAAAAATACTTAAATTTTTATATTAAAATAATCATAACATTAAAATGCATGCCAAAACCTGGGAAAATGTCAAATATAGAAATTTAGTATCATTCATGCATAAGGATTCATACGACTTTATGAGAATACTAAGACTTTAAGAGAAAATATTGCCAAAGAATATAAAAGACAACTCATAAGGGAAAAATTATAAATATTCTATAAATACCAAATGGTCAGCCAAACTCTATATAAAAGAAATGCACAATTAAACAGTAAGATTCCAATTTTTTCAAGTTAGTAAATATTAAAAATGATAATATCAGTACTGGTGAATTATGTGACAAAAAGAAATGTTTCAGGAAAACAATTTGATAATGTATCTTCGGATATTTTAAATTGTCTACATATTTTGGTATGATAATCATAAAGAAACAATAAGAAATAACTAATACTTAAGTCCAAGGATTTACTTTACAATATTAATTACAAAATCAATAATTGAAAGAAAAGAAGCTAAATGTATAGAAATAGGTTGATATGTATTGAAAATGTCTATGAATAATTTTAATTATGTGAGAAATACTGTATAGCATTAAATGAAAACTTCAGAAAAACTGTAAATAATATATCAATATTTTCACATTATGTATATGAATTATAGAATTATATATATAATTAAATGTATGTATATAAGTCTGGAAGGAAATAGACCATATTATCTTTAGTGGTAGAAATGAGTCATTAATGTTTTACATGTTAATTCGTTATAATAGTCTCCATCTGTAACACTGAACATGTATTCATATGTCACCTGGGAGAAAAATAGCCCTAAATAAGTTTTGAAATGAGGTCAGTAGCGAGTAAGGAGGGATGGGGAAGAGAAACCACAAAACAAAATGTAAGTGCTTTTTAAAAACATGCACGCTCGCACACACTCACACACACACACACTCACGTACACACTCAGAGCAATTGGATCCTATCTAAAGAAGTTTAGTTTTCAAACCTTTTTCCTTTAAAGAAAAAAAGTGAAACAAAGACTTGCCTTTAAAAGCCACCGTGCTTGATAAGAGTGTGACATTACTGTTGTGAAACAGAAACTGATCGTAGAGCCTCACAAAGAGGCTCATTACCATTTCACGGGAAAGCAGTTTACTTAGAGTTTTACTAACTGTCTGGAATTTATGACAGCCATGGAAATATACCCACTCAGGTCCCCGCTGTCGCTCTTAATGCCGTTACGTAAATACCAGGACATCTGGCTGCGGCTAGTGTTCTAGTCTAGACATTTGGAGCAATGGAACTGAATGCAGCCTTTCACTTAAACTAATTCTTTCTTTTCTCTGCCCCTCTCCCAGCCCCCATGTACATACACACATCGTCACAATCACACATCAGCATTTCATTTCATCACCAAAAAGGAAGACAATTTCATCTAGGAAATCCACAGAGGAATGTGGGGCGTAGGCATCGTTAGCGTCCCAAATGTGAAAAAATGAAAATAATGTAATTCTTCAGTCAGTCGTGTGTTCTCTTCTTTCCATTATGCTGTTTATTCTGAAACAAGATTATACCTTTATAGCATCTAGTTTTTGTCTGAACATAAAAAGCAGCACTTGATTAGACAAAATAGAAAATCGTATATAGAATATGTAAACAGCATCCAGAGATGACCTTAGGAACGATCACATGTTCTCGCAACCTTTCACTCTCATTTATAGTCTTGTTGTTATGAAGATCTTACTTCAAAACTGGATTAATGCCGCGTGTATATTTTTGCAAGTTTTTATGTTAAAGTAGAAGTTGAGTAAATTTTCCATGACATTAAATATTACATGGTGCTTAAGATTATGGCTTTTGGAGTCATGAAAAAAAAATCTGAAAATTGTCGTGCTGCATTTTCTTGACCAAAAATAATAATAATGATAAAAATTAAAAATTACCAGGTAACGTTTAATGAATATTTACTATATGTCAAGAAGTGTAAAAGTTTTTTGCATGTACTAATTAACTTAATCCTCCTGGCAACCTTGTAAAGCAGGCACTACTGTTTTTTTTCACTTTTTACATATGAGGAAACGAAGGCTTGCAGAATTGTCAACTTGGCCAAGTTCATGGAACAAGACAGTGGTGGAGGCAGCATCAGGATCCAGGCATGCTGGCTTCAGAGCCCATGGGACACTGACTTTATAAGGAAACTACCAAATTTAGCAGAATTGGGAGAAAAAAAAAGCTCATTTTTTTTTAAGGAAGCAGACATTTTCCCATCTTTAATAGCTTTTATGTAGTTTGAACATAAAACTGTTTGAAAGTGTAGCTGCATGCTGGTTTCCCATGTTAGCTTCAGTGGACAGAGCTTTGGTGGCACATCCACCCACGACTTTGTAAACGAAAGGTCTCCTTTGACACAGAGTCGTGACATCATTGCCTTCCTTCTTTTCCACTCGCGTGACTCAGGAAGCAACCAGCTTGGCCCCATATATGGCCACACGTCCGTGATGACAGGAAGTCTACTGGACGACCACCACTGGCACTCTGTGGTCATTGAGCGCCAGGGCCGGACCATCAACCTCACCCTGGACAGGAGCGTGCAGCAGTTTCGCACCAACGGGGAGTTCGACTACCTGGACTTGGACTATGAGGTAAGCTTGAGGATGTGCGAACCGTGGCGCCAAGTGGCTGCCTCAGTTTCCTGCTGTATTGTCGTATTTATTGTTTGGGGTTTTTTTTTGTTTATATATATATTTATTTATTGAAGTAGAGTCAGTTTCCAATGTTGTGTCAATTTCTGGTGTACAGCATGATGCTTCTAATCATATACATTCCTACACCATTTTCATTTTATTCTCCAAAGAGAACTTAACATGCAACTTCATAACCTAAGTTATTAATATGTCATTTTACACATTTCTAAATTTTTGATAATGAGTACTTAAAATATTTTTAAAATCTTGGTACCAAAGTAACATATATTTGAAGAGAAGGACCATTTATCATATTATCAGGGCCATTTAACAAGTCCAGAATAAATGTAAGTTGTAATCTTTCCATTGGTAGTTAATTATAAATTGCTTGTTCGATAATGTACAGTGTATTATGTATACAGGATTGCCTGATATTTATTACAAAATGTTGAATAAGAAATCCTGAGTTCTGACTTACATTAAGTCATTTATAGATTTTTGACTGTAGACAGTTCTTTTGACAAGTTCTTTTTTCTCAAATATAATTGTCATAAAAGAAATAAAAATACAGAATATTTTGAAGAGATTGTCCATAAGTAAGAGGTTTTTTTCATCTTCCAAATGATCAGAGATTAAAAAATAATCAATGATCATATTGGTTCAGTAAAAATATATGTATTCTCATAATATACTGGTAGGCGTGTCAAGTTTTTTAATAAATTATTTGGAAAGCAATTCAGACTTAAAATGTCGATCAAAAATGTTACTTGTAAATAGGGAAGAAAGTTCTGGAAGAAGGTGTTCATCACTGGAACACCCCTATGAGTTTGCTGCGCCATCTCAGTGTGCCTTGGCCCCCAGTTTCAAAATTGCAGCTTTATACATATACACGTATGTGTGTTATCAATATCTATACATAATTCTTTTAGAACATAGAATGTGCCCACCGTAAAATGGTAAATGAAAAAGTCAGGATATACAACTATGTCTTCTATTGTCTTTATATGTTTAAATAGTTTCCAAATTTTCTGTAACATGAATACATTACGTACATTTCTTAACAGAAATTTAGAATAGAACATACTATGTAAACTTTGATAGGAACTTTATCAACAGTCAAGTAAATATAAGGTTATCAGGAAATAACTGCCCCTCCAAAAACGTCTCTTTAAATCAGAAATGACTGTTGAAAGGGAAAGACTGTGAAAATCCCAGAAGTGTCTACCTTCTCTGAATTAGTATAAATCTTAGCTTATGTGACTTTATCTCCCACCGTTTGAGGGAATTTAAAGATGAATTATTCATTCTCCATTAATAAACTTTGAAGTACCGTAGAAGAGGTGAGAAATCCTGGATCATTAGCAGTGGGCAAACGCAATTCCAATTTTCAAAAACCAGAATTAAAAATTTGGGGTCATAGACCCTACTGAGTTCGTGATGAAATCTATGAATATTCACGCAGACACACAGTGCTTTCCATTGGGTCAGCAGGATCGTGGACACTTTGAAGCCCATCTGTGTAAAACACCACGTCGGAGAACCTCGCCTGTAGACTGAAATGCCTGAGACGGATTTGTCAGAGAGACATAGGAAGAAATTTAAGTTTACTAAGAAAGAATCAGGGTAGACTCAACTCATTTCCCTTCGTTGATTACTTTTCTCAGATACGCAGTTATTGGCGTAAGCTGTAATGAAATGGTCGGTCCCACTTTTGTATCTCTCCATGTTTACCTTAATATATAGCAATTCTCTTTGCTCTCTTGTTTAAAGAAAGTCAGGGAGCATAGTTGAGTGGATCTCTTGCTGTTTTTATATACATCTCCTTGAAGCAATGGGCTTGTTATGAATAACAAGAGACTCACCTCTCAGTCAGGAAATCGCAGAGATTTTGGGAGCTCTGTGCTAGGAACATAGCGGACAGAGACCAAATATATTCATTATACAGTGTTTCCATCAGATAGACACAATAATGCAAATAAACTCAAGAGCATACATGGTAGTAAAATGTAGAGGTGAGTTCTGAGTAGTCGTTAATTTTTTGTTTAATATAGCGTATTTAATTTAAAGCTTATATAATTTCATTTTTAGCAATGACTTTAACCATACGTTCTCATGAGCCAGTATGAGCAGGAGGCAGTGCACCGCGGGGTTAGGTACATAACACTAGGGCTCGTTGAATAATCCCTGTCCTCGTCTCCAGACCTTTACATCGTGAAAGAAGCAACAGAAGACGAGTTTGTTCCTCTGTCGTCGCTCGAAGTGGGCATTTGGTGGGGAGAAGCCTGGAGAGTCCGCCTCCCTCACTTCTCGGTAGCCCACTTACACCACACAGGGACCCAGTCACCACTTCGGTCAAGCTGCTAGCTGCGTGGTGGCCTGAGGAGGGTGCAGCGGCGCTCAGAGGCACCTCGCTTCATCCTTCCTCCTCTTGGCCAGGGAGAATGCAGGGCAGGACAGCAGACTGCAGTTTGTCCCGGCTTCTCCCCACTCTTCATCCATATTCCAAGATGCATCCACTTTATGTTATGCCCTCGCCTTTGCGATACAGCTCTGCTTTGAGAGTAGAGGAATGGCTCCCCCTTGTCCGTTGCAGAACTGGGCTAAGATTTGAGAAACTGGTTAGAATTTTAGAGAAAATCAATTGCCTGGGCTCAAACCGGAGTGAAAAAGCTTGAGTTTAAATCCCTTTTTGCCCCTTACTGGTTGTGTGTCAGTGGAGAACTTATATTCCCCTGCTATAAAATGACTATAAGAGCACATTGCTCACAGGGCTATGTGAGGAGGTAGCAGGAAGTAATGTAAATCACAAATATATCAGTTAGACTGCGTGTAAGGGATGTGTGCTTATTCCTTTCATAGAAAAGGAGCCTGTAGGCAGGTAGCCCTGGGCTCGAATGGCAGCATCATGGTTGTCAAGACCCCAGTCTATTTTTATCTTGCTGCCACTCCATCCCCTCTGCACATCACTCACATTCCATCTTGCATTCCAGCCAGTGGGAGAGAAGGGAGTGAAGGAGATTGTACCCCACAGCTCCCCCCTTTGAGGTATAGTTCTTAGAGTCACACGCAGCCCTTCCACCTAAATCTCATGAGACCGAAATTTATTTAAAGAGATTGATCAATGCCATGTATTGGCTGGAGAGCACGTGCCCGCTGAAAAGCAATGTTTTTTCTTAACGAAGGTGGGAGAAAGGATACTCGGAGGCATCTAGTAGTCTCTGCCACACTTTGTAAACTCTTGGATCGGTGCAGTTCTTTCTTGGAGTCCAGTTGTCAGTGAATGGCAGTGTCATTAATGAGGCAGTCATATGAGTCATATCAATATCTGGTTACTAGTCTAACAAATGCAATAGTTTTATACAATGAGAATACGTACAATATCAGAAGGTATTTTGTGGTCCAGCCGCTGTGCTTTATTGGTGAGAATCCATAACCAGAAAGAAGGGAAATCCTAATGATGAGGTAGGTTAGGAACTGGGATTGGAACCCACGTCTCTTAACTGTAAGGAATCTGGTAAATTGAGCCTGTGACGCCTTGCCGGGGAACCTCCTGTAAGGGACGACACGTGCCGAGGGCTGTCAAACATAGAGAAACCGTAAGGAGTGTTTGGATCATCATCCCAAACGAAAATGAGTGTCCCCAAATAAAGAAACTGTGCACAGAGAAGAATAAAAAACTACTTTTAAACTAACATTTAGTACTACTATTCACACTGTGACGCTGCATGTCGTTAAGCATAGATCTTGTCACTATCAACTGGAGCAGAATTTGATCAAATAAATCGTGGGCAGGAAATACAGCACTCCATGAAGTATCCGTAGTTCTTACCTTCGGCATTACGTGCATGTATATAGCACCTAGTCAGTTAGGTCAACGCCACTTGAGAACATTTCCCTAACCTGTTTTCGAGTACTCTCTATTTTTTTTTTCTGTTGTTTCCTAATTCCTTTCAATGTATTTATTCTTAGTTTTTCTTATTTCTTCCCATATATAAACTCTATGGTAAATGACATATATTCAGCTAATGATTATTCATACATTTATTTTTATTTTAAGTGAGGTCTTTTTGGTTTATATTGTCTCCTAAATCATCATTAATTTGTACATTTCCCCCCCCCCAAAAAAAACTAGGTAAGCATTTAAAATGCCAAAACGCTGAATAACAGAAACATAATTTGTGTCTCCTAGAAGCCAAAGGTCTCTGTCTAATGTATCAAATATGAAGTCTTGACGTTGAAATATGTCTTAACTTTGTTTTCATTTTTTAAACTTTATAAGAAAAATTGGTCATGGTAACCGAATAATAATTAACATAAATTTAAGATCTAGATTATGTATCTTGATATTACAGCTACAATAGCAGATTCATTAACTACTCATTCACAATTAGCAGTAAAATCCATTATTGGCAACACATAATTGAGTATAATTTGTATGATATGAAATTGATATTTCAGTACTGTAATTTGACCAAAGATATGTGGGAAAATTTTTACATGCTCTACCTTCATCGGTCATAGTAGCTTGAGAGTCACGGGGAGGAGCATTGACCTTTTTCCTTTGGATTTAGGAGACCTGGGATATTTTTAAGTCTATACTTCTCAAATTATAGCCTCTGAGTCCAAAGATATTCCTAATTGATAGAGTAATGAGACTTTTTGAACCGTTTTCTGTATTCAAAATAAGTCTAATGAATTCTCTACGCTACTGGTCATTCGACTGCAATGTCTAAGATGAGTGAATACAGTATTCCTTGCTTCGGGTTGAAGTTTTATAAACTTGAGTATTAGTGCTGATTATCTCATGAGGACCAAAAGCCTTTGTTGGTGGTATGTCTTTGAACGATCAACATAAAACTGTATTTTTAATATTATGTAACAAAAAGATGTTTGCTGTGTAACATCTTTTAAAACCTTCTCAGGGAAATTTATAAAATGTCCTCGGGGTGGTGCAAATGCTAAGGGTCGTGCCTCTTCTTGTTCAAGTTACAATCTGATTGTCAATGAATGACAGTCAGGATGCTCTTCAGTAACAACGTAAGTTATTACGCCAGAGATCTTGGGGGCAGGAAGAAAAGTGTCTGTGTCTGTGGGCTGAGGTCAAGGTGACTGACCCTAGCTGAATTAGCAGTCTTGTCTAATTTATTGTGAATGTTGTTATTTTTTCTTTAAGTCAACATAGTGTGTTTACCTTTTTTCTTTTTCTCAAAGATCACCTTCGGAGGCATCCCCTTCTCTGGCAAGCCAAGCTCCAGCAGCAGAAAGAATTTCAGAGGCTGCATGGAAAGCATTAACTACAATGGCATCAACATCACTGATCTCGCGAGAAGGAAGAAGCTGGAGCCGTCAAATGTGGTAAGAGCTTTCACCCCCAACGTAGCGGTTCCCAGAGAAATCAAAGACTTTGTTTTGTGTGGACTGTTAATGAACAATACCGTAGCATCTATCATGGTTTTGCATGGGCTCAACCATGCAAAACTAACTTTAGTGTCACCTGAAAAATGTGGAGGTACTGAATATACTCTGAGCATAGATACTGGGTTTTGAGTTAAATTAACCTGAAATAGTAAGTTTTATTCAGAGGGGCCCAGAATTTCTGTTGCAGGGTGTGTGGGTTCCCCATGACAGAGGACCAGGTATATACTTCAGAGCAGATTTCACTCCAGCTTTTCAGCAGCTGCTAAACTGTCAGCATCATGTTTCCAAGTGTCCCATCGCGTCTAGCTCTGCGTTTCTTGTTTACAATGTAATTCAATATTTTAAGAGTTTTTAAAGCAGGAACTTTATTCTATTTACTTCCCTGTTTCCAAAGATAATTCATCCAAATATGCAAATCGATAAGCTATTTGTCAAAGCTCTAAGCATACTTAAATATTATGCAATTAAGTAAAGAGTGATTGCACTGGAGAGTGAACGCTGTGACTCAGAAGCGCACAGTGGCCTTCTGGCTCTGGTGTGAGTCCTGGTTCAGCTCTTTCAAGGAGGAGAGCGAAAAATCAGGGAACACTCTAGCACACTTGCCTCCCTGTGACACCGCGTAAAAGACAGCAACTTACAAAGTGGAATGTGAGCTCCCTACGATCCTGCAGGAATAGAAGCTGCTTCAACCCCAAAGTATCATTTGGAAGAGGCTGGGATCCAGAGACCCATATATCTGGGGGCCAGAGGAAGTAGATGATACCATGAGTGTTTGCACTGTGTGTCTGGAAGAATTCTGCTGCTCTCGTTACCCCCCGGTCTGAGCCTAGGGTTCATAAAATTATTGGATGGATGGAAATACCTAATGAATAAACAAGAGTTCAGGCTGGATATATAAGAAACTAAAAAAATATTAATTTAATGCAAAATTTCTCTTTACTAATTATTTTTCTTTAAAATGGTGATGAATTTATACTAATACTTAAAAACTGATCTTTGGTGAAATTTTCTCGTACCATTTATCAACTGTAGGGATAACACCTCCATATACAGGCAACAGGCGCTGTGCTCGGCGTGGTACATTTATGATAACCTAAGAATAACGCTACAAGGGAGGTATGATCATGAACATTTTATAGATGAAAACTGAGATTTAACCTGAAAAAATGACTTTGCAAGGTGACTGAAAATGAGTGCAAACCTAGGTTGTGGGTTCACAGTATATGATCCCCAAGGTCATGTCTCCTTTCTAGATGTTATTTCTCATCTAGAGCAGTATTTATATATATGCTATTTTAAGCTTTGGATAAAATGGCGCCAGAGTCCTTCTGTTTCCTCAGAAATTGTTGTTCAAGACAGAAGGGCACAGAGCCAAATCATCATAGTAGTCTTTCCATTGTCTGCATCTTTGAGAAAAAGTCAAGTGTTATTTCTGCCTGAACCTCCCCGTTGATCCTTGGATGGACCCATTAGGTGCCCAAACTTCAGAGAATTGCACTACGGAGACTCATTCCAAAATCAACTTCACTGCCAAATATATCATGCTTATAAATGCGATTTTAACTTGAATGACAAAGATATTTAGTAAAGCATGACTTGTCTATATTTGTTGAAATAGAATGAACAGATATAAAAAAGGCTTTTACACCAAAATATGTGTATGGATTAAAATTTTAGGCAGTAGAGAGGCAAGTGAGGCACTTCGCAAGCAGCTCTCCAACGGCAAATATTCATGCAGGGAATCTGCTTTCAAGGACGTCAGGTGCTGATATTTCAGTGGAACTGACTCAGCCCTCATCTCGCACCCCCTCCACACACACACCCAGTCGCTTGTACATTGATTCCGGGGTCAGCCTCAGAAAGGAGCTATAACTTTGCCGGGAGACAGTCCCCACGACACAGGTATATGGGCTATCACAACATTTCAGTTATGAAGCATCAGCAGCTCTTTTCATCAGGAAAAGTATTTTAAAATAATCATCTGCGAAGGTACAGTGCAAGTTTAATTTGAATATTAATTCAGGGGGACAGCCTATGTTAGGCTTAATGGCTCATGTACTGCAATGGAAGAGCTGTGCCTCTAGGGGTAAATGATGTGGTGTGGACGAAAGGAAGGAGGAAGGAAAGAAGGAAAGAAAGAAAGATGAAGTGAAAATGTCTTCAAGTCATACTCAAGATACTATGCTGGGATTAAAAAAAAAGATGGAAGAAAATGTAGATTTTTAGGTCTTTAAAAGGAAGATACTTAAGACATTAGAATATAAAATTCAATGTATCTGTATAATATGCCAACTTTTTTCATACCAGGAAGAGGGAGTGTGATGGGGAAGGAGTAAGCTTTAATTATTGCAAGTTCTTTTTTCGTTTTGTACATTCATGTCAGTGTTTCCACAAGCATTAACGCATTATGATACATGCAAGCCTCGTGGGAGTTTAGATGGGATTTTAAGTTGAATAACAGAATAATCTGAAATAATCACAATTATGCTGATGCTAAATAGTTAATGTTAATTCATATATATTAGGTATGGGGACAAAACCCAAGACTATTTGTGCCATGATATCACTTTAATAAATAGTAACCAAGTGGTCCTAGTTCCCACTGATACTGGAATAATATAGTAATAAACACGTGAGCAAGGCCATCCAGGAGAGGGCGGTGGCGTCTCCTCCCTGGCTCACACATCATCAGTAATGGCGGAGGGAGGAAGCAGCTCTTTGCCGTCTTCAGAAAGTCCAGTGGTCCACACTCAATCCTGTAACACAGGGGTACATCCTGTCCATGGCCAGCTCATCACATCAGTGTGTCGGACTGTCAGTTCCATGATGGTCGGTGCTTGTGTGAACCCTCAGCTTGATGGCCATCTGCTAGACCCTGTCAGCCAGGGCAGAGAGGCCTCTTCCATGCCAAGGTGTCCAGCTGCTGAGTCTGTGTCAGATTGCTGCATGGGAGAGTTTCACACAAGCTCCAGTTCTGCTTGGAAATTTGTAGAACTGTAGCTTTTTCTACTGTTTTATATAGATGCTTATTTTATTCAAGATTTCCTCAATGTACGCCCTTCTGTTTTACAGGGAAATTTGAGTTTCTCCTGTGTGGAGCCCTACACGGTACCTGTCTTTTTCAATGCCACCAGTTACCTGGAGGTGCCCGGACGGGTTAACCAGGACCTGTTATCAGTAAGTTTCCAGTTCAGGACTTGGAACCCCAATGGTCTCCTGCTTTTCAGTCATTTTGCGGATAACTTGGGCTACGTGGAGATCGACCTCACCGAAAGCAAAGTTGGTGTTCACGTCAACGTCACGCAGACCAAGATGAGCCAAATCGATATTTCCTCAGGTCAGTGAAATCTATTCAGTATTCATTCCGGAAGCTGCTATTGGTCTCTCCAGGGCGAAGGTTGTGTTTTTGTTTTGTTGGGATCACATGCTTGTGATTATGTTTGGATTCAGGCTTTTGAGATACTTCTTGGCTGCCCTGAGTGTAGACTGACAAAGGGAAACTTGAAAACTTGCTGAGAGGGTAAGGGTGGGTGAAGAGGAAGGCTGGTCAAGACTGTCTTAGAGGGAAATCTTCCATTTCTCACCAATGCTAGTTCATTTTAAATCTAGTGATGGCTGTTTCTCTCAGTTAATATTTTATGTTTAAAAACAAAGAAAATTTTATTAACATAACAGTACTTAGTATCATTTGACTTTATGGGCATTCAAATACCTTTTACTGTTAGTAATGGGGTTGTATTGATTTAATTATGACTTTAAAGGTATCTTCAGCGGCTTGAATTAAAACTTCAAAGGGATCTTGCTAAATTTGTGCAAATGGTCAGAAAACTAAGGGGGTGGGAGTACAAAGAAGAAGGACAAGAGGTATGTATCAACGGAGGGAAGACTGCCTGGCTAAGTAGGGTCATTTTTAAACTTTGACATCATACTGGTATGATACACTGAGACTTTGGTGATGTTATTGGAACAAACTTAGTGACCTTGGAATATTATTTGATTAATATGGTACAAAGAAAGCTGAAATTGCAAAGTGAGATATCACAAACAAAGAAAATGATGATATGCAACTGATAAATCGTTAAAAAATTTCACCAGGTTTCTCTGGATGTTCCTTGTTATGGATGTTTTATTTTGTAAAGAACTACTTAGAAGTGGAGGGCAGAGAGAAAAAGAACATTTCCTGAGCGCCTAGTACAGATGTACCAAATACTGAGAGAAGCAGCTCTTAGCAGAATGCTCCACTGTGTAACTGCTGGCTCCGATTGCTCAGTAGTCCAGGTGTACTCGTGACGCCACGTGCATAGGTCTGACAGTGTCTAGCACGTTGTATGGTTTGGGTCCATCTCATTTCCCCTCTATGCCATCAGCTCCTTGAAGGCAGAGACCACGCCCTTGTATATGTGTGTATAGAGCGGCACCTGTAACCTAAGGGATGCTCCAGGATTGTTTGTAGAGTTCAGCACCGTGGCTCCAAGAACTAGTGTTCACTGACCGAGTATCTCCTGCTCAAGGATATGTGTCTTTCCGTACAATCGGCCTTGTGTGTAGGCATGGCGCTGTGTGGACTGTTACTGGCAAGGACGCAGGGAAGACATGGGAACCATGTGTCAGGGGTGTATCTGAATTACTGAAATCAAAAGCTATTTTGAAAAACCTAGATATTTACTTTATGTTTGCATTGTTAGTTTTGCTTTTGCCCTGAATGTTCAGAGACAAAATGATGGATCCCTGTATTTTATCACTACTTCCCAGGATAAATTTACCTGGGGAGATACAGAACAAATAGAAATTATCTGCAGTGACCAGAATAACACATAAAACAAATGCACATACAAATATTTACTACGGTTGAAAATCTCCCCACTGGATTCTGTTATGATTAATGATTCTTTTCTAATGCCTAAACACATAAAGTGTAAGTCAGAAGGTCTCCCTGCTGGCATTCGCTGAGCAAACCCAAACTCCTGGTGGTTTTCCATATAACAGAAACCACTATAACTAAAAGAACAGGAGTTTAAGAATAGTGATCAGTAAACATGTACTAATTTAATTTGGTTTAATCTAGGATTCCAAGATACTCCGATCTAATTTAAATTGTGTTTATTTAAAAAAAAAAAGAATGAACAAAGGAATCTAGTATGCAACAGCTAATTTACCTTAATAGATTTGCTTAAATGTAATAAAAGTGGGCTTTAGACATTTTTGTCAATGTAGCCAAAAATCTGTACAAACTGAGGAAAACAAATGTGAAATCTAAACATTTCTATAGTTTCTTATGCAGCCCAATGAAAATATTTGTTTTAAAGATTTCCATTTTTCCCCATACAACAGCGGAAACTAAGACGTTATCATTTATCACTGCTCAAGTTTGAGAAACGTTAGTAAGCAAATGTATACACATATACTTTAAGAAGTTGTATCTCGAACTCATTTAAACTGGGCTTATTAAAAAATAAAGGAAAGAAAGAACAAAGAAATCCAACGTATTCATTCATCCTACAATACATACAAAGCCCATAGAATACAATTTTCATTTCAAATTCAGTTAAACATATGAATAACTTAATCTAAGTAGCAACACTGAGAAAATAATTAATTTAGAAAGATGAGTTAGCCCAGGACGCTAATGTTTGCTCTAAGAAAGGGAAATAATTCTGGATTATACCTACCCTATTCATTTGTTAATGAAGTATAGTTGATTTACAATATTGTGTTGGTTTCAGGTAGGCAGCAAAGTGATTCAGTTTTATATATATATAATGTGTGTCTACATAGACACACATTTTCAGATTCTTTTCCATTATAGGTTATTACAAGATACTGAATATAGTTCTCTGTGCTATATAGTAAATCCTTGTTGTGTATTTTATATATAGTGGTGTATATATGTTAATTCCATACTCCTAATTTATCCCTCCCCCTCTTTCCCCTTTGATAACAATAAGTTTGTTTTCTATGTCTGTGAGTCTATTTCTGTTCTGTAAATAAGTTCATTTGTATTATTTTTTAAATTCTACATGTAAGTGATATCATACAGTATTTGTTTTTGTCTGAGTTACTTCATTCAGTATGATAATCTCTAGGTCCATTCCTGTTGCTGCATATGGCAATATTCCATTCTTTTCATGGCTGAGTAATATTCCACTGTATGTATATACTACATTTTCTTTATCTATTTATTTGTTGACAGACACCTAGGTTGCTTCTATGTCTTGATTATTATAAATAGTGCTGCTATGAACATTGGAGTGCATGTATCTTTTTAATTAGAGTTTTTGTCTTTTCCAAATATATGCCCAGGAATGGGATTGCTGGATCATAGGGCATTTGTATTTTTAGTTTTTTAAGGAACCACCAGACTGTTCTCCTTAGGTGCTGCACCAGTTCACATTCCCACCAACAGTGCAGGAGGATTCCCTTTTCTCTACACCCTCTTCATTGTTTATTATTTGCAGACTTTTTGCTGATGGCCATTCTGACCAAGGTAAGATGATACTTCATTGTAGTTTTGCTTTGCATTTCTCTAATAATTAGTGGTATTGAGCGTCCTTTCATGTGCCATCTGTATGTCTTCTTTGGAGAAATATTTAGGTCTTCTGCCCATTTTTTGATTGGCTTTTTGGGTTTTTTGTTTTGTTTTGTTTTTTTGATATTGAATTGTAAGAGCTGTTTGTATATTCTGTAAGTTAAGCCCTTGTCAGTCTCATCATTTGCAAGTATTTTCTCCTAGTCTGTAGGTTGTCTTCTCATTTTGTTCATGGTTTCCTTTCCTGTGCAAAAGCCATAGGTTTGATTAGGTTCCATTTGTCTATTTTTGCTTTTATTTCTTTTGCCTTGGGAGACTGTCCTAAGAAAATACTGCTACAATTTATGTCGGGAAATGTTTTGCCTACGTTCTCTTCTAGGAGTTTTATAGTGTCATGTCTTATAGGTTAGGTCTTTAAGCCATTTTGAGTTTAGTTTTGTGCATGGTGTGAGGGAGTGTTCTAACTCACTGACTTACATGCAGCTGTCCAGCTTTCCCAGCACCACTTACTGAAGAGACTGTCTTTTCTCCATTGTGTATTCTTGCCTCCTTTGTTGAAGATGAGTTGACCATAAGTTGTGGGTTCATTTCTGGGCTCTCTGTCCTGTTCCATTGAGCTGCATGTCTATTTTTGTGCCAATACCATGCTTTTTTGATTATTGTACCTTGGTAGTAGTGTCTGAAGTCTGGAAGGGTTATGCCTCCAGACTTGTTCTTTTTCCTCAGGATTGCTTTGGCAATCCTTTTGTGGTTCCACATAAGTTTTAGGATTATTTGTTCTAGCTCTGTGAAAAATGTCCTGGGTCAATTGATAAGGATGGCAGTAAATCTGTAAATTGCTTTGGGTAGTGTGGCCATTTTAACAACATTGATTCTTCCAATCCAAGAGCATGGGATAGCTTTCTACTTCTTTGACTCATCTTCAATTTCCATGACCAACAATGCGAAAGACATGCTGAGAGCCGCATCTACCCTATGTTTACCAACAGCACGAGCACTGAAGCATGTCAGTCCTATTTTGCCTCTGTTTTGAAATAGCTTGGCCAGAAAAATGTAGGAGATACAGAAAATCTAGAAGAGGGAAACACTCATTAATAACATCTTGTTCTTCACATACACACGTACACACATGAACACTACTTCTGAATAGTTAGTTCTGTAGTCTAGGATGACGGTAACTCATCTGGTTGAAAAGTCTCCGTATTCCATCTTGGACAACATTGCTCTTTGGTGATGAATTCAAAATAAATCCTATGAGTTTGAGCCGATTCCAAATATTATTTACCCTCTTCTTGCATTTTTTGCCTCCACACAGTGATTAATTTTTGTCTCATTCGTTTGAGACAAAAATTGACTCTGGCTTGTAAAAATCAAACCTCTGAGTAACCTTATTAGTGAAAATATTCACTCACAACATAAACTTGAATGAAACATTCCGCTATATTTGTTTATAGTTGGAACAGTAGTTAGTGATTGGTGAATATATATTTACCTTCCTCTAGGAATAAGGGTAAAAGAAAAAAAAAGCAGGTGCTGAAAGGGTCAAATGGATAACTCTGAGAGTTACTTTCATTTGAACTTTCATGTCCATCATCATGGCGAAGGCAGACCTAGAAGCGATTTTGAGTACCTGAATTGTTTCCAGCGTTATTGAGGTGTGATTAACAAATTAAACTGTATATATTTAGGTTGTACAGTGTGATTTTTTAAATGCTGTACAATGTGATGTTTTAATATATATATACATTGTGAAATGATTAGCACTAACAAGTTAATTAATTCATGTATCACCTCACATGGTCATCTTTTGT